GGGCAAAAAGGTAAAAATGTGGTCAACTTAAAACAACTTATAAGCTGGGGAAAAAAAAGCACCCCTAGCCCAGCTTTTAACTTTTGGCTTAAAATAAGTTTTTTTTAACTTAAAATAAGTTGTTTTGAGTATTGCCAAACAGCTAAATAAGTCAAAAACCAGCTTTTAAGTTAGTTTGATCAGCTTTTAAGCTGCGCCAAACAGGCTCTTATTAATACATGATTAATCTATATATTTTGTATTTATCATTGAAATTAGTATACAAAAATAGGATTTTCCTCTAAGAAATATACCTCTTAGAATTTTGATTATATCTTCTATTAGTACTTAAAATTGGATGAATTAATATGTTTTTGTGAGTTAGAATACATCAAATCATTTTTTATGTTTTGAAAAATCTTAAATTTATCTTTCAGATGATATCATATAATAATTTTAATCTTTCAAAATATATTCGATTAAAAAGCAATATTATATATACATGATAAATAGTTTAAAAAGAGTCCATTTAGAACTCCATTACCAAAAAATAGGAGTTTGATATCATTTGATATATAATGAAAATATAAGTCAAATTAGAATCGTTTCCCGTATATAATTACTATCTCTCTATATATTTTAACTCTAAATTGACGGTTCAAATAATTTATTGTATTATCAATATTTTCTTTAAAATTTGTCAAATGATTTTTCAATAGCTTGCCATTTAATTTTTATTTAATATTTTCAAGCTCCAATATTTCGAGAATTATTCTAAAATTATATACATGACAAAAAAATATATAATATTGTCAACAGATTGAAAGAATTTAATAATTTAAAAGTGTAAAAGATTCGTTGATGGACACTTTCACAAAGCTAAAAATTATAAATCAAATTACCTAAATAAAAAAAGGAAAAAAAAACTTGATGAAAGCACATGAAACCCAACACTGCATAAGTAGTATTTTATGTGATAAATGCAATAAAAAGTTAATGTATTGATGGAATGAATCATGTGATGTGATTAGTAAATAGCTTTCGATTAACACAAATTTTTCATAACCATTTAATTATAATAATTTGAGATCTCTTTTTAAGAATATTTTTCTTTAATTCTAATTAAAAATTTATTTAAAATGTTTTTGTAGTTATTAATAATATAACTCAAATATGATAAATCAAATTATCGATGGTAAAATCGATACCTAGTTGATTATAACTATCAGAATAATATTTTAATATTATGACAAATAAAAGTATTC